GCTGCAGTAGCAACATCTTTGTAGTCTTTATTTTATTTGTAAAGTTGATGGTTAAATGTTAATATTCTGTTGAATTGTGCACTCTTGATTAATTGTAAACTTGATCTTAGCACACCAAATGATGATTTTTACAATGATTGCAATGTTTCTCCACTGAAGGATTTCAGAGCTGCAATAGGACTGAAACCAACTTCTAGCAATAAAAAAGAACATTTAAAAACTGTCTGCCTTTATATAATTATTTATTATTTTCTATTTGAACTGAAGATCAAAGCAGCTGCCATTTCTCACGTGCTTCTCATTTTCTGCCCTGGACAGAAATAATGTGCCATATGAGCAAAACTGATGATTTTCCAAAGAAGAGGATGGAGCACGAGAGGTGTTTAGTGGAGGATAACAATAGCTGCAGCCCTTGGCAGAGAGGTGAACACCTGAGGGAAAGATCAGCTGCTCCCAAGCATCTGAACTCACTGGTGAGAGAGTGAACTCAGCTGAGTTGCTTACATTAGTGTGGAGGTGCTTTGCATGGTGCCAGACTGAGACATGCCTGGCTCTGTCCCAGGCAGTATTGGTTCCCCCTTGGAACAAGTATAACAAAAATAGAAACTTACCTGCCAGCACCATCCCACAGCCTCTGGCTGGTGCTGTGCTTCCTGGTGAAATCCCCACTCGTGGCACACTGGCAAGGGAGCCCAAGAGCTGTAACCTGGAATAATTTCTGGAGATGAGAACAGGTGCAGAACTGGGGAGAGTGGGAGAACTGGGATGTGGTTTGGTGCTCTCAAGGAAGAGGGAGGATTTTATCATCAAAATCCTGCAGTGCAGCCAGTGTTGAGGAGAACTCCGTGCCAGCAGGGCTGTCTGCCCATCCCTGTCTTTGGGGCTTAACAGAGCAGCTTTGGGGGACCTGGAGTCTCTCTGTACAGGATCAGTCAGCATTTGTCAGTCTCTGAAGTCCATGTGACATCTGCGTTGCAGCACAAACTGGAACTCAACTGGAAAAATATCAGGTTTTCTACTTTTTCAGCATATGTCAATAATCAAACATTTCTAGGCAGACCAGCGTTTAAAACTTGGTCTTCATGGGAACTAACAGACTGATGTGTGACAGAATGATGTCTTACAGTCTGTGTGTCTGTCTGTGTGTGTGTAGAAGCTTTTGCTTGTGCTTCCTTCAGGAGAATATTCCTTCTATCTGCCCCGTTGAGCTCCCAGGAGCTGAGCTGTGGTGCAGTCACTGCCTCTGTGCTTCCAGACCTCATGTCTGTGTCACCAGAGCAAGGCCAGTGACTCCATGTCCATCTCTAAATACTTTTCAGCAGCAAGAAATGGAATCAAAGTGATTTTGGGGGGGCCAGCAGAGAGAGACAGTATAGCAGAGAAGTTACAAGGAGCTGCACTGTGTTCTCCTGCAAATTCATGTGTCAGACCTGTAGGAATTGTTTATAGAAAGACAGAAGAGCCTGGATCAGGGAGATGCAGGGTTCAGGGAGATCCAGGGTTAACACAGCCCAGAGAGTTCCCTGCAGCACAGATTCCCATTGGGAACTGCCCAGCTGCAGCAGCCCAGAGCTCAGTAGAGGCAAGTTTAAATCCTGGGCAACATTTGCATGTTAGAAACTTGGTGCGCTGCAGCCATCGGTGTTCAAAGATGTGTGGGTGTTGCTGTGCTCAGTTTTTGCCACAACAGCTGGGCAGACATTCCTTGGGGATTGCAAACACCTTGCCTTGCAGTGGCAATGATAAGGCTGTCGCTGCTCTGTGAGCTCAGGGAGGGTGTGATCTCGGGGAGGGTGTGAGCTCAGGATGGGTGGCTGGTGATGCCTTTAGAGCTGTGCTCATACCAATATTGCAGCAGCTCCGCCCTGCCTTGTCTCTCTCTGAAATCTGCAGCTAATTAACCCGAAACCCAAACCACATTCTTTCTCTGTATGAATCATTCCGGGGCCATCGGCAATGACCAGCTTTACGCTAAACCTTCCTCTTTCATGTGGGTGAGACGAGGCTGATGGTTCCCATACTGCATCTGAGACTCATCAGCAAACCAGATGCTTGAGGACAAACATGCTCAGAGGGGATTGACTCTATAGTGTGCTCTGACAGTGGGAATGTACTGTTTGCTACCTTTCCCTTTCCTCACCCCTGTGATTCAAATCCGGTTTAATTTCTCATCCCAGTGATGGGGCCAGCTCAAGGCTCAGCAGATAAGGGATGTGGGGCCTGTCCTGCACTCTTTGGCTTTTATCCTCTGCCAGATCCCATGGGCCCAGAAGCAGCAAATCCTCTCAGAGCTGGAAGTGCTGGAGTGTGCAACACATGGTCCCTGGCTCTGGGACTGTCACATGCACTGGAGGCTCAAACAGCTCAGGGATCAGTTTGTTGTGGGGCTCCTTGACTTTGGACAAGGGCCTGGAGTGACAGGACAAGGGAGAATGGCTTCCACCTGACAGAGAGCAGGGTTAGATTGGATATGGGAAAGAAATTCTTCCCTGTGAGGGTGGGGAGGCCCTGGCACAGGTTGCCCAGAGAAACTGTGGCTGCCCCGTCCCTGGCATTGTCCAAGGCCAGGTTGGACAGGGCTTGGAGCAACCTGGGCTAGTGGAAGGCGTCCCTGCCCACAGCAGGGGGTGAGACTGAATGGGCTTTATGGCCCTTCCCAATCCAAACCATTCCATGATTCCATGTGCACAGGAGCAAATGTGCCTCTCCCACGTCAGAGCAGCAGTTGACGTCATTTCACTGTGAGGGGCACAGTGTGTTACTAGACCTGAAGCCATCTCAGATCACTGCATGTGATAAGCAGATTTGCCAGGGAATTTCAGACAGTTAGGTGTGCAGTGTCTGTTTTCCCTCTTAGAACATTGGACAAAAAACACACCATGTGTAGTTAGAGCTTTGTTTTGCTGGGCTACCATGAATTGTCATTGTAACAGTTCCTTGCTAGATGTGTGGTGGGTGTGCTGCAGAACATTGGAATGATCCATGTCCCATCTTAGCCAGAAAGTGGAATTTTTAAGTTACTGCTGAGCTGGGAAGGGAGAAAAGCTGTGTGTTGCCTCAGTGCTCTGGCAGCAGGAGCTGCTGAGCAGAACGCCCCTAAGCAGCAGTAGAATTCTCTTAAAATCACCCCTAACTGTCTTGCCTTGTGGCCAGGAGGGACGTGGGTCAGTCTGATCCCCTATTTCTCTGGCTGTGGTGGCTTGTAGGCTTTGTGTGAGAATAGGACCATCCCTTGAGACAGCAGCATCTCACTTGGATTGTTTTGGCTTTGAGCCTAGTGAAGCCCATGTGTGTTGCCTCTTCCAGATGTGACTGTGGGCTGGGGTTTAGCTCCTGCAGCTGGAGGGGTGCAGCTACAAATGGGGGAGCTGGGCTAGGAGGAGATGCCTAAGTCTGAGCTATGTTGAGATTCTAAACTCTGTTCATTCAGGAGGATTTCTGCCCCAGCAACCAAATTCACCTCCAGCTCAGTTGGCCTGAATCCTCTGGCCCCGGCACTGAAGCAGCAAGTGGATCAGTGCACGGAAATGTCAAACTGGGAAAACAGGTCTGTTGGGATGACTTGACTCCAGCAGACCCAAGCACAAGTAAAGCTGTCTGGTTTTCCCCAGGGTGCTCCCTGCTGGGCTGGGAGCTGGTTCCTACCAGCAAGAGGTGGAGCTGGAGGGATGGCACAGGGCTGTCTGCCAGGTGAAGGAGAATGAGGTTTTGTTGCCAGCAGCAGGGAGCCACCAGTGCAGCCGAGCCCCTATGTGCTTGTAGTGCTGGTTTTCCCTGAGAGGCAGTTGGACTGAAACGAGGAAACAATGCCCAGCCCTTGTAAAGTCTTCAGCAGCAGTGGGGGCTGCTGATTCCACCAGCTGAGACTACCCAAACCCAGCTCAGATGATCCCCAGCGCCAGGCGCGGGAGGCAGACGGACCTGAGACGCTGGAGCTGCTCCGTCCCCAGAGCAGGATGTGGCTGGGAGCCAACACTTATTGCTTGGCAGCATAAATAAAAGAGAGAGCTGCTGCTCAAACAGCCATGAATGAAAGCTCTGCTCCTCCGACTTGCTGAGCAAAGTCACACTCTGTCCAACCCTCAGGAGGAACTGTGGATGGAACAAAGGTGAAACTGCTCCTGGTTGGGAACAGGGTTGGAGACACTTCCTGATAGCTGCCCATCCCAGCCTTGTCCTGTGCCGTGACTTTCCCTTGCCTGCATGTGTGTGTGTGAGGCACAGCCAAGCTGAGAGCTGCTAGGTGGTTGGACTCCATGATCTTAACAGCCTTTTCCCACTGAAATGGGTCTTTTTTCCCTGCAGCTTCCTGTGTGCTCCAGGCTGTGGGCTCCTCTCCCTGCAGCCAGTGATGGAGAGGTGGCACAGCAAGGGTACATGAAAAAAGGCCTAGCCTGGGAGCTGAAAATGGCAAAGGCATCAGAAAACAAGGTGGAAATGAAGTCTGTGTATCTGCTCCAGTCCCCAGTAAGGCAACTCATTTCCAGTCATGCCAGCTGCCTGTACGAGCAGCTCGGAAGGGCTGTGACATTGATTTATTTAACTCTGAAATCATGGATCACACCCAGACCTTGCTTCCATGGTGAGACAGTTGGTTGTACCTTTGGTCCTGTTTCCTCTGACTGTGCTGATTCCTGTCTCCTGCCCCTCTAACAGAGCTTTTCCTTCCCAGCCACTGTCCCCCCTCCCTTGGAGCAGGGCCTGGAGTGCACAGCCCTTGGGGACAGAAGGGGCAACACCTTCCCCCATTCCTTTGGACAGTGAGGAAACCCAGCTCCATGGAGGATGACCAAGTAAGGACAGAGAATAGCTTAACCTTTGGAGTTTTAAACAGATTTGTGTGTTCCTCAAAGCTTGAAGGCAGTGTGAGAGCTGGGCTTCCCTCAGTCCCATGTTACAAAGATACAGGAAGATCTGAGCCCTCGATTTGGACTCCTCACTATATAGCAAAGGCTGGGAAAACCTGCAGCTTAATCATACAGAGCAGGCAATGAACACAATGGATTTTATTCAAATTTATTTAAGTAGCTCCAGGCTGAGTAATAAACACACAACTGCTGTATAAAAAAAAAAAAAATGTAAAGAACCAGCCCATGGGCAAAGTACTGTCACATGTTCAGACATTCCAGCCTCTAGTGCTGCCTGTGCTGAGAGTCCCAGCAGCACAGTCCAGAGCCTGTGGCCAGTCAGGAGCATCCTTTGTCCTTTCTAGTAAACACCACTAAAAACCCAAAATATCCCTCTGGTTCCTGCTCTGAGATGACACAAGTTAGTGGAAAACCTGGACACCTTTTGCTGTCTCCAGGGACAGCACAAGCTTCCAGCCCAAGGAGGTCCTTCTATGCTTGTCCCCTCCCTGGGCTGACGAAGGAGATGGATTTGCAGGAGCACTTCAAAGCCAGAGCTGTATTGCCTTGAGCCCTGCAGGTGCTGGTGGGACCCACACTGGCACCCAGCTCACGGACTTGCTGGATAGGAGGAGGTGTTTTCCATCTGGATCCTCAGTCAAGTGAGACACTGGCATAATAAGGTGTGAAGCCTGAAGCAGACTGTTGTGACACCAGTGCACAGCAAACCCAACACCCCTCAGGCCTTGGATCCCACAGAGAGCTCAGCAATGAATGGCTGCTGATTTCCCTCAAGGTCCAGGAATCTTCTACAGATATCATAGGATATTTTATTGCATTTGAGTAGTACAACTCTTGCAAGGAGAAAATAAAAACCCTGCAGGATCTGTGATTCATTGGCATAATTTCTGCCAAAGAGCCTTTAGAAAGGTTTAATTCCAGTTGCAAATGTTTGAAAGTCAATCTCTGTGTAGCAGGGAAGCAATGGCATGAAAGGGACACCAGGCAATAATTAGAAGCAGAGAAACCCTGTGTTTATACATAGACAGAGTTTGTCTTATAAACGCAATTACCCACCACTCTGGGACTAAATCCCAGCTATAATCTTGTTCTGGCACCAGCTCCCAGCCCTGGCGTCCCACAAGACATTTGGGTGCCACTGGCAGATTAACTGTGGCACCAGGAGGAGGAGGCTGTGCTAAAAGCAGCCCCATGGAACCGCACGGTCTGTCCCAGCTCCTGCAGACACTGAGCCTGGGAAAACATCCACTCCAGAAGCCTTCTGACCTAGGGATGACACCCAATCCTCACACAGAGCATTCCCCAAAATCTTTGCATAGGCCAAGACTCGGTGGCAGGGCTAAGATGCCAGGTTAAGAGTCCTGTTATTTATACCAATCTTCTCCCTGCAGCATTTTGGCACCTTAAAGAGACTTTCTCTCTCCTGCAGGGTTTTAGATCCCAAACTGCCAGCCTGAAAACATGTTTTCTGAAGCTGATGCTCGCACGAGGACAACTGCAGTCCAGATCCACGTGCATCTGCCCCTCAAGGTTTAACCTTTGTGCAGCACAAAGTTATATATAAGGAGCTCTGGGTTGATCCACAACTATTTACCTCCCAGTCTTTGCCACTCTCAGGCAGACAGGTACTTCCAGGTGCTGACAAAGGCAGTGGGGATGAGGGAATAAGGCACCGTGGTGACGCTGCTCCAGGTGTCGGATGAGGGGTCGTAGCAGTCCAGGGTCTTGCAGCGCTGGGCCCCGCAGTAGCCCCCCACCACGTACAGCCTGTTCCCCGAGGTGACAGCGCGGCAGCTGATGCGCTTGGCAGTGACATCCCCAAACCTGGACCACTGGTTGGTGTCACTGTGGAAGCGGTAGGCGGAGCTGGCCGAGAACTCCGTGTCCCCGCCGATGACCATGATGTGGCTGCCCACCACGGCAGCCGCTGTGTAGCGCCAGGGCTGGGGGCAGCTGGTGGGCACCGTCCAGCGGTTCTGGCAGGGGTCGAAGCACTGCACCTTGGGCAGCTTGTTCTGGTTGGCGCTGGTGCCCCCAAAAACAAACAGCTTCATCTTGGCCCCCACCACAGCAGCGTTGCTGACGCCTTCCCGGAGAGGGGCCACCAGAGACCACTTGTCCAGCTGAGGGTCATAGTGCTCCACCTGCTTGAGGGAGACGGAGGGAGAGGCTGGGAAGGCCCCGCTCATGGCTGTGTGACCCCCCACCACGTACAGGCAGTGGTCCAGCTCGGCGGAACCGTGGCCAAACCGCGCCACCAGCATGGGAGCAGCTTTTGCCCACTCATCATGAAGAGTGTCGTAGACCCAGACGTCCCTGGAAGCGCCGTTCTCGGAGCCTTTGCCCCCAGTGATGTAAACCTTGCAGCCGATGGCGCAGGCACTGCACTCCTTCCGGGGGCTGGGGATGTCAGCACGGGGGATGATCTCGCTGGTTTTATGGTCCAACATGTAAATCTTGTCGCACATGAAGGTCTGGCCCCCAAGCAGCAGCAGGGCCTGGCTGACCTTGCGAGGCCGGGCGCAGCACCCCGTCACCAGCCCATCGTTCTGCAGGATCTTCATCTTGCATCGCACAGCGTCAGCCACAATCTCCTCTCCCAGCTTGTGGCTGGTCACCAGCTTCTCACAGGCCACCTGTTTGCACAGGTAGGACTCGGGGAGCAGGGCCAGGCGGACAGAGCGCAGCAGTTCCGGCAGAACCTCGTGGCGCCGAGGCAGATCATACCGGATCCAGCCCATGACAGCCTCGTAGACCAGCGTCTCATCCTCCACCTCCAGCTCCTCGCTCTCCACCAGCTCCAGCAGCTTGTCCTTGGGCAGCCTCAGGAAATCCTCGGTCTTGCAGAGTGAGGTGAAGTTGGCCAGCGCCATCCTCCAGGACAGCTCCAGCAGCCGCTCGCAGCAGTGGGCGTCAGACAGCAGCAGCATGTTCAGGCAGTTCCCAGGGTAGAGGTTCTTCTCCAGGAAGTCGGCCGAGGCATCCCGAATATCCTGGAACTGCAGCATGTCCCCGGCCTCCAGCAGGGACTCGGCGTTCTCCTCGTTGATCAGTACCCGGGCTGAGTAGGCATAGTCCAGCAGCAGCTCCAGCACCTCGGGGTGCAGGGAGTCGTGAAAGTTCACCTCGGCATCCCTGCTCTCCTTGAGGCCCCCGCTGAACATGGCATTGAAGTAGCGGCTGCAGGCAGCCAGGACGGCGCGGTGGCAGGGAAAGCTGCGGTTCCCCGCCCGCAGCACCACGTCGGTGAAAAGGTTCTGCTGGCGGAGCAGGTTGAGCTGGGTGAGGAGGCTGTCGGCGTGGCCCGGTTTGTGGAAGAGGTGGATGTTCATGGAGCCGGAGCTCGAGCGGGATTTCCGGTTCTCGTGGCTGCTAACGGACATAGTGCTGAGACTGCTCTGCAAAGGGAAAAGCGGCGAGTCAGCACGGGGCGCCTGGCACTGGCGGGGGAGCAGCGCCCGAGAGGAGCCGGCGGCGGGAGTGCGGTACCGCCCGGAACGGGGAGCTCGGAGGGACCGTCCCGCAGCTGCGGGTCTCGCCCAGCGCTAACCGAAACGGGGCACCGGACGCTCTCGGACCAAACGCCGGGGCAGCTCAGGGCTCCGCCGGGGCCCCGCGTACTACGGGAAGAGAGAGCGATGTGCGCTCCCGGGGCTGCCGCGCCCAGCCCGCCCCGCGGGCCCGCCCCGGCTCCGCACCTGGCTCAGAGGTCCCGCACCAGGCCCCGTGGTCCCGCACCCGCGGTTCCGCACCTCGTTCAGAGGTCCCGCACCTGGCTCAGAGGTCCCGGTCCCGGTCCCCCTCCCCGCCCGCTCTGCCGCCGCCGCGTGGCCGCCCCGTGCCGGCCCCGCCCCCGCCCGCGCAGCAGCCAATCAGCGTCCGCGGCGCCCTCCCCTCGCTCCTGGTGAATAGAAGGCGGGGCCGGGCGCGCGCATGCGCAGCCCGTTCCCCCCCCCCCCCCAGCCCATTGAAGCCCGCTCATTGATCCCCCCATTGATTACTCCCCATTCATCCCCCGCACTTGTCCGTGTCCCCCCATTGGTTCCCCCCACTGACCACTCCCATTCACCCCCCGCACGTGTCCGTGTCCCCCCGCTCCGAGCATCGCCCCCCGCGCCCCAGCACCGCAGCGCGGCTGAGGCAGCGGCCGAGGGGTCGGGCCGCCGGATCTGAGGCTCCCGAACCCGGCGGAGCTGTGCGGACGGAGCCACCTCACCATAAAGGGCCATAAACTGGGCAACCGGGCTGGGATCAGCAGCGCGCGCCCGCGGCCTTTGGATCCCGCCCTGCTGACAAAGGCAGGATACGGCCAGACAAACCAGCCCTGCTCAGCAAGTTTTCCTGCACGGAGCCCACCTTTGAAATTTGGAGCTTGAAAACATCCAGCGGTTGCTCCCGCACAGAGGGTGCTGCTCGTCTTTACCTCCCCCGGGGCAGCCCATCACCTGCACCACCATCACCTTTCCTTGCCAAGGAAGGGTACTGTCACCCTCTCTCAGGAGCAGGAGCCGAGTTGGGGTGATGGCCGCAGCAGAAAAGAGAAAAAAAAAAAACAAAACAAAAAAGCAAGTTCTGGGAAGATCAAGTCTGCCCACACAAGGTCTTGTGCTAAAAATGAGCAAGTGCTGCTCTGGGCAGGTAGCAGCAGCCACCACAGGTGCTTAATCAGGAATCAAAGCCACCCTAAGGAAAAAATACAAATTCCGGAAATTCTGAATCACCCAGTATTGCTTTATCTCTGCACGTTTCAGCTCCACCAGCTGTAACGTGAAATCATTTCATGAGGAATTGGATGAAGCAAATGCACTTAGAGCAGTTTTCTGTATGTTAAAATTAAAGCAAGGTTTAGAGCTTTACAAATTTGGCATCAGAGGTTAGGTGGGGGTTTTAGGGTCTTTTTATTGAAGAGTTAGAGCTACATCTCGTCCTGTGCTGAGCAGAAGAGCAAGTCCTGAAGGAATGATTTAATAGGGTTAAGAATACAAAAATAATCTGATTTATTATCAAAACTAAACTGCAACAGGAGTCACCATGGTGGGTGAGAGGACCAGGCGAGAGCCACAGCTGTCCCTAAGCTGAAGGATCTGCTTCCTCTCCCTGTTCAGGCACAGGACTCAGAAAAGTAGAGAAAAAAAACAAGAATCTCCTGCAAGTAAGCTCTGCCTACGCTCAGAATTGTACCAAAACCTGTAAATCTGGCACCAAATTCCCAGCACAGCCAGGAAAGGCATCCTCAGGGACACTGCAGGGTGAAGGTCCAGGTAAACAGCAAGGACAGGGCAAAGGACAAAGAGCATCCAGACCTCCTCTGCTCTTTGAACACAGGCAGGACACAGCTCCCCCTTTCCATGCCAAAAGCAACAACAAAACCAAGACGGAAGCCCCTGGAATGGTGCAGGGACACCACAGAACTGTTTTCAAAGGGTGCATTTCCATGGCAGCCAGTCAGGGGCTCGGATTTATTTCGGTGGGAGGAAGGCTGTTAACACATGGGGAGCTGCAGGTCACAGAGCACTTGTGTTTTCTGACCCCTGGAGCTTTCCAGAACCAGCTAAAGAACTTTTCCCTGCTCTCAGAGGGAACAATCACTCAAGGCCACCTTTGATTCCTGTCGTTTATTATTGGCAACGCCCAGAACTGTAACTGCAAAGCCCATCTCGGCATCCATTTGATTGCTCCTTTGAAAGGTGATTCATAAATTTCCTGCCTTTTTTTTTTTTTTTAAAGAAAACAACAAAAAAAAGACCGTTAGCAGCTGCCGGAGCCTGCTGGAAGAGCTCCACCCGGTGGCATTCCACGAAGGCACAGCTAGAGCCTCAGAACTCCTGGAAGTCTCAACTTCCTCAATTTTTCCTTGAATGAGCAAGGCAGACTAGAAGGAAGCTTCGCTCTGCTTCCAGTTGCTATTTCCTTCCCCTCTTGCCTCTGTCACAAACAAAACTTTTCACTTTTCACTCCTCTTTTTGCTCTGGGCTCAAACCCCAAAATATCTGACAGAGAAACTCCCAGGATATGGACTGTGCCCCTGTCCTGGAGGATGAACTTGCAGGATTTGTCCCTTAGGAGTTTTGTGTGACAGAACCATGACAGTTTTTCCACCTAACACCAACTTTGTGCTCTTTTCTTCCAGAAAACACTAGAAGGTTGCATTTATCTTTTGGGACAGAGGAAGGAAGGATGGAAGGCACTTTTCCCCCCTTTAATTTTACCAACCACAGATTGATTTTTAGAGAATTCACCTGAAAGATTTCTCTGATGGAGAGAGACAAAAATTATCAACTGCAAACAATCCTCTCTGCAACAGACACCTTGATTCCAGTCCCAATTACAATCCACACAAAGGATGTATGGGATTACAATCAGCAACAGACAGAAAAGTTAAAATACACCCTGCCTCACTAAAGGCACTTTTACCATGTGGGAATTTGGCTCTTGAAGCTCAATTATTTAAACAGCTTCAGAATTTCCACCTCTGGATGCCTGGTAGATTCCAATCAGGGAGGAGATGGTCCCCAGGAGCCCTACTAACCACGGAGGGAACCTTCCAGCCCAGAGGAATCCTGGAGGCAGCCAATGGATGGCATTGGAAAGATCTGCTGTGTCCATGAGGATGCTCAGAACCTCTGCCTTCACCTGGGCTCTCAACTTCTGGCTCTGAGATGAAGATGTGCTGCTGGAAGCAAAGGGAATATCAGTGACTGTGATGGATACAAATGAGAACTGGTGTATGGGGTTAAATTATAATGAAAACTGGTTAAAATGGTGCTAAAGAGACCTGGAGAGAGACTTTGGACAAGGGCCTGGAGGGACAGGACAAGGGAGAATGGCTTCCCACTTCCAGAGGGCAGGGTTAGATGGGATATTGGGAAGAAATTCTTCCCTGTGAGGGTGGGGAGGCCCTGGCACAGGTTGCCCAGAGAAGCTGTGGCTGCCCCATCCCTGGCATTGTCCAAGGCCAGGTTGGACAGAGCTTGGAGTAACCTGGGCTAGTGGAAGGCGTCCCTGCCCATGGCAGGGGGTGGAACTGGATGGGCTTTAAGGTCCTTCCCAACCTCCCAATCCCATTCTGGGATTCCATGATCAGCCAAGGAAGGAAGTCATACCACTTGTGCTGCCTCAGTTTTCTTCTCAACTGGCACAAGACCTGCAGGGACCTGAAAACAGCAGAGTTATTTCTCCTATAGCACCAAACAGGAGGGTTTTTTTCTCTTCCATGAGCAAGAGCACCTCCAGCAGCCAGAAGGCCCTTTGTTTTATCCCGATGGATCACCACCGGGCCTTACCGCAGGATTCCCAAGAGCAGGGCAGAGCCCCACAGTGCTGTGCTCAGGGTCCACCACCTCTGGGAAGCGGCACGGATGATTCCGACATCAGCTGCCCAGGCCAGGTGCTCACAAGGGTAGTAGAGTTGGTTGGCCACGTTGCAGAGCACACTGAGCCCCCGCACCAGCACATCCTCGTCCTGCGGGAGGGGGGAAAAGGGGACAGGCCAGAACACGCACAGGGTGGCCAGGGGGGCTGTGGGGGACCCCCCTTCCCGCTCTCACCTTGGGGCCCAGCCCGTAGCTGCAGCTGTGCCGGAGCATGGCCAGGTCGTCGAAGAGGCGCAGGACGGTGCGGCAGGAGCTGAGCTGGGCAGAAGCAGCCAGGAGCCCCCCCGGCAGCCCCCTGGGCCCGGGCAGGGCTCCCCCCACCAGCTGGAGGCTGTAGGACAGGGCACGGACCTGTGGGGCACGGCCTGGTCAGCGGCAGGACTGGTGGGTGTGGGGTCCAGAGAAGCTGATGCTGGAACCAGGACTTCTGTTTTCTCTCTTTAATTCTACCTTTTCCTCTCTTTTTTCCTTTCTTTAATTCTCTCCTTTTCTCTCTTTTCTCCTCTAAGTCTCTCATTTTCTCTATTTATCTTTCTTTCTCTCTCTCTTTCTTCCTTTAATTCTCTTTCCTCTCTCTTTCTTTAATTCTGTTTCTCTTTTCTCCTCTCTTTAATTCTTTTTCTCTCTTTTCTCCTCTTTAATTCTCTCTCTCTCTTTTCTCTTTAATTCTCTCTTTTTTCTCTTCTTTTCTTTTTAAATTCTCTCTTTTCTCCTTTCTTTAATTCTCCCCTTTTTAAATTTCTCTCTCTTTTCCTCTTTCTCTTCCTTTCTCCCTCTCTTTCCTTAATTCCCCTCTCCCTCCTGAATTCCTCCTGTCCCTTTCCCTCCACCTCTTTCCCCAAACCCCCTCATCCTGGGCTCAGGCACCAATACACCAATTCTCACGCCAAGTAACCTCTCTGTTTGCGGACCCTCCGGATTTTTATCATTCCTTTCCACCACCGAGCCTTTAAACGCACTTTAAGTGCTTCTCTTTCCCTAAAGGGCGGGTCACCGCAGGGTCGGGCCCGTCAGTCCCGGCCCGGTCCCGGTGGGTCAGACCCCCCATCCCTCACTCCCGGCGGGTCAGACCCCCCATCCCTCACTCGCGGCCCGGTCCCGGTGGGTCAGATCCCCCCATCCCTCACTCACAGCCCGGTCCCGTCCCCGGTGCGTTTCCAGTGCGGCCCCCAGGCCGCGGAGCGCAGCCGCCGCCATGGCAACGCTTCCGGGTTAGACGTCACGGGCGCGCCCGGGCACGTCGGGAAGGAGGCGGTGCAGCCGTCGCCATGGCAACGCGGCGCGGCCCAGCCCGGCCCGGCCCGACCCGGCCTGGCCTGCCCGAGTCCCCCTCCCCCCCAGGGCCTCCCCCCTCAGGGCCTCCCCCCTTTCACAGCGTCTCCTTCCCCAGTCTGGTCCGCCAACCCCCCGTCAGCCCTTTGCTGACCCCCAGTTCCCTTGTTCTGTGGTGTTCCAGGTTGCCCGAGTAGTGTGTGGAGTCTCCCTTACTCGAGATGTTCCAGAACCCTCTGGACACATCCAGTGCTCTGGAATGGCCCTGCCTGAGCAGGGAGGTGGGACTAGGTAAAACACTGTGGTCCCTTCCATTCTGTGATTCTGTCGTTTCCTTAGAGCAGCATTTAGGTATTTCAGTAACTCACAAGACACACTAAAGAGAACATCAGTGGTACCCATACACTTCTCCATGGACTCACAGCACTCGCTGCCTCCATGTGTCTGGATCTAAGAATCACATAGAGCATTTTTAGGAATAACCCCTTTCCTCCCCTCGCCTGGCTGTTTGGCAGGGTACGTTCTCACTGTTAAAGGGACGGACAGCCTTGTTCCCACACTCCTCGCTGAGCACAGGCTGAGGGTGGATGGACTCCACCTGCAAAGCCAAGAGAACAGGTAACATGATTTTAGGGAGGACCAGGACACAGTTAAAGGGCAGCGTGTTCCCATGTGGAATTCTGTCCTGAAAGGCGTGGGATCTGTGCAAGTGAACGCTAAGAAGGTGGAAAAACAGAGGGGAAATAAAGTGATTATGCTTTAAGTGGCTGTTCTGTAGCCTTGTTGGCTTCCCTCCAGCATGTCCTGTGTTAAATTTAGGGAGACCAGAAGCAGAAACAGTGCCCTGGATGAGAGGACACACTGGTATCAGCAGGAGAACCTGATCCCAGGAACTACCCTTTCTGATGAGCAATGTGATTTATCAAACAAAGCTCATATTTGATATCTTGGAGACTTTATGACAAGGAATGTGCTGCCTCCCAGATCCACCACATGAACAGCTTTAGGCAGGGAATGGCTGCACCAGATTATCCACCTCAAAATCAAGAGTTCTTCCCACTGCACAGTTAGGAGGGGTAAGGCTGTGGCACAGAGGCCACAGGTACAGACTGGCACTTCCACCCCCACAAATGACATCTCAACAGCCACTTCTTTGCAGCAACACTTGGCATGTTCAGGTGATGTGAGTGATTTCTGGGACATGAACCAGTGGCTTGATCTTTCTGCCTTGCCACGTTTGTTTTTAGAACCTGGTTTGTGTTTATTTTTGGGAGGAAGGAGAGGATTTTGATCAAAAGCTGCACTTATGCAACCTCAGGAAGGGATGTGGTTAGAGATGGCCATGGAAGGCATTAAGAAAATACTCTTCTGACCTTGTCTCCTATTTCTCATGGCCAGTAAGAGAGAGGTCCCTTCATGCCATGGATCTTTTAAGCCATTTGATTTACAAAATGTGGAACAGATCACAGTTGAATTGATCTTTTCCTTGGCCCCAGACTTCTGGAGCAGCTCCATAACTGCCATATGGAGTGATATTCCCGTAACTGCCATGTGAGTTTCTTCATTTGCCTCCTCATCCTGGGAGTTGTTTTCTGTCTGGGTGAAGGTTTTGAGCAAAATGCTGACGGCAGAGCTGGCCTTTTCCTCTCCTCACATGTGGATCTGTGCCTGCAAAGCTTCTCTGGTGCTGCCTCCCTTTTTTACTGCCTTGAATTTAATTTTTATTTCAATTCCATCTGTCAGCAGATGAAAGTTCTGTCACAACCACGCAAGCCATGCTGGTCCCACACAGGCAGCAGAAACAGCGACTCCCCAGCAGGTCCAGCCTTAATAGGCTTGGATTAACCACAGGGTGGCTTGGAGAAGTGGGTTTATACCCAGCAAAGCTGCAGCCTCCCCTTGACATCATCAGTTTGGGGATGGGACAGTGTGCAGCAAATCCTGTCTGCTCCAGCCTCAGGTGAATGTTCTGTGGAGGCAGAGTTGTAGATAAGGAATATCTTGAAAGGAGAGGAAGGACAGGCAACCAAATCCTTAAGCCAAGGAATGTAGGTGATTCTGGTCTCCCACAGAGGGTCAGAGGAGGAAAATTGGCCTGCCTGGAGGTGTCCACCCATGGCAAACATCTCTGCACCACTGAGCATCTGCCAGAGACAGAGGGTGTTGCAGCTGCCCAAGTGAGGTGACCATGTAGCACCACCAGGCTCAGATATTGGGGCTGCCAGGTTCTGTGGGGCCACCTGCCCCTTTCTCAGCCCCATCCCAATGTGCTGAGAGACGTTTTCTCTTCTCAGATGAAAAGCTCCCATGTGGGGCTGCCCAGGACAGCACAGGACATCTGCAGGACTGAGCAGAGGGGTGACTTCACACCCAAGTCTAAAGGCCCAGCTGAAATCCAAAAGGCGAACTCCCAAGTGAGCTGTGTGTCCCCAGGGTGACCCTGGAAAGGCCCTGTCCCCAGGGGAAGGTGACATTCTCCCTTCTCCATCAACCAGGCCCTGTGAGCTGCCCACACGGCGTGGGATCTCCAAGCCTTCCTTGTGCTCTGCTCTTGGCCCCCTCTGTGTGTTGTCACAGGGAACATCTATTTCTCAGATTGAATGAGGACACAAGGAGGTGTTGTGACAGCAAGAATAAACACTGGGAGATTAGCCCAAAGCCGTGGGTGACACATCCCTCTGGATTGCAGGAGACCTCTGGGCAGGCACAGGGGCAGGAGGAAGCAGGTGGGCTGGGGGAAGCACAGAGGAAGGGTAAGAGACCAGAAACAGAGTGAGAAGCACTGTCAGGGCTGTGTGGGGGCTGGAATATGTTTGGATTTTGGTGTCAAGGCCTGGAACCAAAGGTGAGTGGACAGTAGGGCAGCTGGGCAACTCTGCCCAGCTTGTGATGAGTGTGGGCTGTTTTCCTAGAGGTGAGCTGGGTGTTTTTGTTGAGTTGGTCACTCACGTGGGTTTCCCGACTGCTGAGCTTGCACTAACTCTCCTTGGGGTCTAGGTGTGTTCCAGAGGGGTCAGTGGGGGCTGGTCAGCCCTTGGGGGGGCTGAGTGAGCAGGGCCAGCTGCTGCTTTGGCACTTCACAAGCTCTTCTCAGATGGGTTTGATTCCCCGTGAACCAGCCCTGAAGCCTTTGGGCTTCGTTCCCAACTGCTGCAGTCTGTGTGTGAGCAGTGCCCTCGTGCTTTCCTCTGGGCATTTGACTCTTTGTCTCTCAGGAATGGGACAGTCTTTGCTCCACTGTGCTTTCCTCTGGGGATGTGACTCCTCGGGAATGGGGGAATGGAATCTTTGCTCCACATGTACTTCAAAGAAGCCACGCACTCACATCTTGCAAACGCATACAGGCACCTCTCCTCAGTCCCTGTAAACACCTGGATTCAAACACCTCAGGTGCACCATTTGGTGGAGTAACAGGGACTTGCATCTGCTACAGCTCTGCCCCATTACTTTGATGTGACTCTGAGGTGCCATTGCCACCTGTGCTGCTGCAGGAACGGCCACAGTTCCCTGGGGATAAATGCTGGAATCACCCCTTGGTGGCACCAGCTGTGAGAGCTGTTGCTGGAACTAACTGTGGTTATTCACTTTTTCATGTGGATTTTGATCCAACTTCAGACATGGAAAGTAAAACTGGCTTTTTGGGGTGAGGGTCTTTGCTTTCTAAACTCTTCTCCCACCATTTCCAGCAGTGCCTTGGGAAGGCCAAACAGGCTTTCTCTGATTGCCCACCCGTATGAAATCTCCCAGGAGGGCTGGTGGTGTGTGACACCCCTCCCTGCCGCCGACGGAGCCACTGGCACGTCCCGGTGTCACGTCGGCAGCGCCTGTGACTCAGAGATAAGGCTGAAGTCACGTTATTCCTCGATCCCTTTAAAAACACGTCCCTCGGCCCCGTGGCCCCAGCACCAGCCCCACGCACATGAGGTCAACCCTAAAACATCGTTGCAAAACAGGGGCTCAGTCGAACCCCCTGGGAAGGCCTGCAGGGTGGGGCCACTTAGGATAAATCAGGGGATTTTGATGTAGCTTTTGCTCGTCCTCCTTTCCCTGGAAGGCTCCAGCCTCCCGGAGCTGCCAGGAGATGGGGCCCGCAGTGATGCAGCTCCCAGGGCGCGTGCAGAGCTTGGTGGTGAAGCTGGAGGACGGCCCAGCCCATGGGAGCGGGGAGCTGCTGCACGGGCGGGTGCAGCTGGAGCTGCGGGGAGCGCTGCGGGTGCAGGCGCTGGAGGTGAGTGCCCATGGCGGTGCCACCGTGCACTGGCTCGAGAGCTGCAGCATCGGGCTCAACGTTGTCTACCGGGACTACTCAGCCTACCAGACCTTCCTGAGCCGCCACTGCCAGCTCATCCCTGGTAAGGCTGGGGCACAGGGTGGGGCTCTGCACCAGGGAGAGCATGTTGGGACCCCCTTGGGCTGCGACGTCCACTCTGGGTGAGCCGCTTCCCCGATGGGTGTTGCCAGACCACACAGGGTTGTTTGTGCCTCTTGGACACCCCTCTTTGCACCTTGGCCGAGGGTTTCCCTGCTGCTGGTTTCTGGGAGGCTGCTGGTATAAACTCAGCTCGAAGGATTTGTGGCTTTTGCTCTGTTTGCACAGGGAAGTGCAAACACAAGGGTCTGTTCACAAGTGTGGAAAGAGCACTTAGTAGCTCAGTTGGTGTTTGTTTTCACTTCCCCTGTGCTGGGACTGGGTGCCCAGATGACACATTGCTTGGATCAACCGCAGGAGGACAAGCCACTTGAATTCTTTGTGTGGTTGGGATGAAATGATCCAGAGCCAAGGAATATGGGACATCTCAGCTGTCTATCCGCTCATTAACTCTGGCTTTTCTTAGGAACATGCGTGTCTTTTATCCTTCTCTCCGATGACATGCCTTCTGATGACCTTGTTGTTGCCTGTGACCCAGTTGCCTGGCCCTGGCTGTAGGACTTATGCTGAG